ATCTTTATTACTCGGTGTAGGATGGTTACAGTGGCGTGAGTAAGTGGGGGGGCATGCGTCATGTCCCCAATGACTTGTGTTTCATAACCCATGCGCCCTCCTGATGTCCCTCATGCTAGACCTTTACTGTTAACGCCCTCTTATTGTACACATTAGAAAAAAAATCAAAATTCCATAAACATTACACACGCCTTTCTTGTGATGTATCAGCAAGTTGAACAAAAAATTTAAGTTCTCTGAGACAGCCACCGTGGACAGTCATGAAATGTTTGACCAAATTGTAATTATTAGCTTAAATGCCTTCACACAAAACGATCTTTAAAAACTTGATTGATTTTCTAATGTTTATGTAAAAGTAAATTCGTCGGAGGAATTACATTATCATTTTATTTTATTTTGAATTGCAACAAGCAACAGGGAGCGCTAGGTGCATTTAATTGATATTGATTTTTTTTTATGAAAAACGCTTGTAAAATAAGGAAATTGGAAGTGTGTTTTTTAATATCTCTGATGCAACAGGAGGACTACGATTGGAAACTCGGAACATGGAACTGCAAATCGCTCGGCTTCCCGGGCTGCGATAGGTTAATCTATGACGAACTTCAACTACGCAACTTCAAAGTCGTAGCACTGCAGGAACTTTGCTGGACGGGACAAAAGGTATGAAAAAGCGGGCATCGAGCGGCTACTTTCTACCAGAGTTGTGGCATCACCAAAGAGCTGGGAACCGGCTTTGTAGTGCTGGGTAAGATGCGCCAACGCGTGATTGGTTGGCAGCCGATACCTTTTCTTCAACTACAGCATCATCAAAGTGCACTGCCCACACGAAGGAAGACCCAACGACGAGAAAGAAGCGTTCTATGCGCAGCTGGAGCAGGTGTACGACGGCTGTTCGCAACGGGACGTCAAAATCGTCATCGGCGACATGAACGCTCAGGTAGGACGGGAGGCAATGTATAGACCGGCAATCGGGCTAAACAGCCTGCATGCTGTATCGAACGACAACGGCCAACGATGCGTGAAATTTGCAGCCTCTCGGGGTATGGTAGTTCGAAGTCCTTTTTTCCCTCGCAAGGATATCCAAAAAGCCACATGGAGATCCACCTGACCAACACACAGGACCAATCGACGGGAAATTCTTCTCCGACATTATCAACGTCCACACGTACCGCCGCGAGTCAACATTGAGTAATTACGGGACGCCGGAGTTGCCCAGGACTACGCAAAGAAATGACTGGTTTGACGGCGAATGCAAACTGTTCGTAGAGGAGAAGAATACAGCACGGGCGAGAATGCTGCAACACCGCACGAGATTTAAAGTGGAGCGATACAGACAAGCGCGGAACAGACAAAACTTGGTTTTCCGAAGGAAGAAGCGTTAGCAGGAAGACCGAGATCAGAGGCGATGGAAAATCTGTACCGCGTAAACGACATACGGAAGTTCTACGAGAAACTAAATAGTTCGCACAAAGGCTACGTGCCGCAAGCCAATGTGTGCAAGGACTTGGACGTAAACCTTCCCACGAACGAGTGTGAAGTGACTGAGAGGTGGAAGCAGTACTATGACGAGCACCTCAAAAGTGATGCAGCAGATAACGAAGGTGGCACGGCAACAGTCCTTGGAGCACGCGCAGAAGACGACAGGCTACCGGCCCCTGATCTTCAAGAAGTTGAGGAGGAGATCGGTTGGCTGAAGAACAACAAAGCAACTGGTGTAGATCAACTACAAAGTGAGCTATTAAAATACGGTGGTGAAGCACTGGCTAGAACGCTGCACTGGGTAATTGCTAAGATTTGGGAGGAGGCGATATTACCGGAGGAGTGGATGGAAGGTATCGTTTGCCCAATCAACAAAAAAGGGCGACAAGTTGGAATTGCTGCAACTACCGCGCGATCGCACTGATGAGCGCCGCCTACAAGGTACTCTCCCAAATTCTATGCCGCCGTCTGTCACCATATGCAAGAGAGTTCGTGGGGCAATACCAGGCGGGATTCATGGGTGCCCGCGCTACCACGGACCAAATTTTCGCGATTCGGCAGGTTCTGCAGAAATGCCGCGAATACAACGTGCCCACACATTATTTTTTTCATTGATTTCAAATCCGAATATGACACAATCGATCGAGATCAGCTATGGCAGACTATGCACGGGTACGAATTTCCGCACGTACTGACGCGATTGGTCAAGGCGACGAAGGATCGAGTGATGTGCGTTATTCGAGTATCGGGGACACTCTCGAGTCCCTTTGAATCTCGAAGGGGCTTCGGCAAGGTGATGGACTTTCGTGTCTGCTATTCAACATCGCGTTAGAAGGTGTGATCAGAAGATCTGGGATATACACGAGTGGCATGATCTTTAGGAAGTCTTGGCTTCACCGATGACATCGACATCATGGCACAGAACTTTGAGACGGTGGCGGAAACGTACATTAGACTGAGGGCTGAAGCTAGTCGGATTGGACTTGCCATCAACGCATCAAAGACAAAATACATGAGAGGAGAGGATCTAGGGAAGACAATGTTAGCCTTCCACCCCGAGTTCAGATTGACGGTGACCTGGACTATGCTCGTGGAGGACCTACGCGCCCTTGGTGTTTTTTAATAGAAGGTGTTGCGTACCATCTACGGTGGAGTGCAGATGGATGACGGAACGTGGAGGAGGCGAATGAACCAGGAATTGTACCAGCTGCTGGAAGAACCATCCATTGTCTACAGTGCAAAAATTGAGCGACTAAGGTGATCTGGGAACATCGTAAGTATGCCGCACGACGACCCAGTAAATGGTTCTCGAAAGCGACCCAACAGTAGCAAGAAGAAGAGACGCGCAGAGGACAAGGTGGATTGACCTGTGGACCTGGCGAAGTGTGGCCACGGATCGCATAGAGTGGAGACGACTTCTTCGGACACCAGAGAACAACAAGGCCTAAGCCTGACTGGTAAAGTAAGCTGCAACAGGAGGGCACCATGGGTCTTTGTTTAAATTTGATATTTTTTTACTTTGATGACATGCATGCTTCTGGATGGCGTTATAATGTTTTATGAAATTGGAATAGTTTGTTTGCAACTCGGGGCGCTAGGAGCCTTTATTTTATTTATTTTTTTCATAATTTGATTATACTAATGCAACTGAAAGGCTTTTGTAATGTTTGATGAAATTGAAATGTCTGATTCTGATGCAACAGGAGGCACTAGGACTCTTTAGTTGAATTTGATTTTTATATTAATTCTTTGATGATATACAGTGTATCTCAAAATTGAGCGTATACTTGAATGGGCAATTTTTTGAAAGACAATTTGCCGTTCGTGCGCAAGCATAGGGGCAAAGTCATCTTTTGGCCCGATTTGGCCAGCTGCCACTACTCCAAGGTGATTCTGGAATAGTCTGCTGTCAACAAGTTCGATTTTGTCTCCAAGCTAACAAATCAAAAAATACTGGACAATTTCAAAGCAGCGACTTCGACGAAGGGGCGTGGCAGTCAAGGACATCCAGCAAATGCGGGCAAAATGGAAGAAATTCGCTGATTCCGTATCGGTTTCCACTTTGCGGGCGCTGAGGACTCCATCAAGAGGAAGGAAGATTTCGTTCGAACTGGAGAAATGTAACACTCTAATGTTGTAATTTAGAAGTTTTAATAAAAGTACTGTAAATCAACAATCATGAATGAACTTTTTAAACTTATTGAATCACGAAGTATAGGTTTTTGTGTGCGTACCAATTTACTTTTAGTCAGCTTTTAAATACAAATTTCACCCTGAACAAGTCTCTAATGGCTTAAAATGTGTTAAAGAAAACATAAAAACACTAAGCGTTAGTTCAACACAGGTTACATTAAATTCAATTTTCAACAAGACGTTAACAGCAGAACTTGATGATGATTAGTTTGGAAAACTCTTGACTGCAGAATGAAAGCTTAATATGTTATCAGACTTATTTCGCGACAGCTGAAATGAAAATGAGTTTTCATAATGATAAGAACAGCAAACTTTAATGTCGATTTATTACCATTTTGTGAACTGCCTTTGCTCGGGCACATACTGTACATTTATATTTACTACAGAGGTGTTACCACTAAATTGCATGGGAGAAAACATGTGCCGACGTGCTTCCCCCTAACATTTTCATGGCATTCATCACCTCTGGATCTGGGCAGTGGATATGCAGCAGTGGCCGCAAAATCTCAGATTTTCGTCACAAAGAAGACGATGGACCTGAATTTGCTCAACCAAGATTGCCTGTAAAAACGCATACTACCGTTCATTAGGGATTAGGGCACACAAAGGACCTGTGAAGTTTTAACCAGATTTGGCAAGCTTTCTTTACAGCTGGGAGGTATTTCAGTGGTACCGTGACAAAGAAGTGAATTTTGTCTGAAAGGACATTATTCTACCCAATTGCCCACAATTTCGCCCAATCGAGAAATTTTGAGCAACTATCAAGTGAATGTTGAAGAAGGCTGATAAGGTGACTCGGAATGCTACAGAGACTGATAGATGTTGGAACGAACTGGCCACTGATACAAATAACAATGGAACTTTCAAGAAACTTTCGTGCGAAGAAATGCGATTTTTTCATTAACCGAATAGAACAATTTAGGGGTGTGAAAGGTCAAAAAAAAATTGACATTTTTCTTACGTTTTAAAAAATGTCGAATTTTTACAAAGTCGTATGAACAAAACGCTTCAAGACCGTAATAAAAATAATAATCCTATCACAGCATTATGAATATTCAATCCAAGAATAACCAGAAATTAAGACCGTGTAATTATGACTCTCGTAGGATTGCTTTGCGCGTAACAATAAATAATAAATTGAAGAAAACATTAATTAATTACAGTAATTTGAGACTGGGTTGGATTAAAATTGCTTTACTTCAAAAAGTCAGATTTTCAGATTCAACAGTTCACAAGTCATTTTTTCATACAAAAATATAGACTCCTTAATTTATACCATCAAATACAATAATGTTCGAAGATTATAAAACTATTATTGATAATCTCACCTGAATGACTGTCACGTTTAACTATTTTTTTTTCTTCCTCCTGGCTTATCATAAACTCATCTGCCTTATTTTTTCACATATCATAAAACACGTCTATTGGCTTTATAACAGACAATACACAAACCAGCGATAAGAGATAAGCGCATGTGCTTCACTCTTGAGAGGCAAATCTCTTCCCTTTCTGCCCTCGAAAAGCACTTGTGTCACCTAATTATTCAACTTGTCGATCTCAACTACAGCACTTCATTCGATTGCTCACTATCTTAAATGCCATCCGAAATAAACCCGCAGTGGCTTGTCTGTTGCTACGTAACAGTACATCAAAAAATCACATTGACATTCACATGACAAAATCACACTTTATCTTCAACTGCTTATTATTGCACTACATCCATCTGCGCAAATTACACGAAATCATATTTCACCATCAAAATTGGTCAAACGGCAGCGTCTTCAACCTCTGATGCTTTTTTTTGCTCTGGGTGGTGAGTACATATTACCGGACAGGTGTTTCCGACCACGCGCACTGGCTTAGAATTTTGCGCGCGTTTTCCCTGCCTGCAGAGAAGCGACTGTTGGCTGACTCTTTTCAAATGAAACAAACCCCGGCGCGGTGGCTGACCAGACCACTCTATCTCGCCGACGATATGCGCGAACGCGATCAGCTGAGTTTGGCGCGACGATGATTCTTGCCTGGAACGGGTTTATACAATCAATTCGCTCTTGATGCGCGGAATGGTGATGAGGGTGGTGTGTGTAACGATTACCGTTACGCTAATCGAGACAGTGTATTATACTCCCTGATCGATTCAAGGCGCATCACGCTGTGAACTAGCGAGAATAATACTTATTTATAAAGTGTAGCCATTTAGGCGCAAGTAGCGATATGGGTAAAATAACCAATTCAGAGGTTCTCAATCTTTCGCAGATTGTTACCCACTTCAAAGGAATTTTATAATCTTATGATTTGTTAAATAATTGTTTACTTACTTATGTATCCTACACTCCCTTAATGGTGCATGGGGTCAACGCGAAGGATTTCCAGCCTGGGCGACTGTCGTCTTCCTTTATTTCCTTGTTGAAGCTCCGCCACCATGAGCCGCTGCACAGTTCGAAAAAGTAGTGTAAATTTCTGTTCAATTACGAATTATATGCCACAGGCATCAGTTGACGAAGACCTGCATTGACCATGATTGGTACACACAGTTGTACACACCAACTGCTCATTTGTTAATAACTTTTCACTCAGTTGTTGAAATTTGTTTTTCTTTAAAGTAATTGATAGATTAGGATCATAGTTTACTATAGATATACAAAGAGTAGGTAAATCTTAACATTTGAATCAACGCCAATGATTTTTTACACTTTAAGTCCGAAATGTGCAGCGAGTATTTCTTACTACAATTTTTACAACGCAAAAATAAATACAGTTTATTACTAGAATTAAAGTCTACTTGTTTTTACGCATCTATAACAAGCTTAAACTCTAGTCTATCTACTGCTTCAAAATGAACTATGTTACGTCAACTGTGTGCGAAGTTATTAGCAAATGAGCAGTTCGTAACCAAAACTGTGTATGCCAAGCATGCCTGCAACTTTTGAGTGTTCTCTGCTGATACACACCACGTCTCACTGGCGTTTAAAAACAGAGTTTTCACGTTTAAATTTAAAATGCTTGATTCGTGCAGCTATGTCGGTCTTGGTCCCGCCGTCTGACGCTATCTGGCTGCCAAGATATTGTAAACTTTAGACTTTCTCCACTGCTTGCCCCGCTACCGTAAAGTTAGAAGGGTTGTCCGTGTTGACATCCAACGATTTGTTATTGTTGACGTTGAAGGTGAGGCACACCGCAGAGGTACGTTGGGCTAGGTAGTTGAGCTTATTCTGTATATCAGAGCGTCGTTGGGTTAATAGCGCAACATCATCTGCCAAATCGAAGTCGGTGAGGTGCTCCATAGGGTAGGCTGCCAAAGTAGACCACGATTTGGTATACGGTCAATTGCACCTGCCATGATCTCGTCGATTACGATGGGGAACAGTAGCGATGATAGTATACATCCTTGCCTCACACCTGCTACCCGGATAGGGTCGGACAAGGCTCTACATGTGAAAGCCTCGTACTGCACTTCGTTTAAGTTGGCGATTTTATCCGGGACTCCTTTACGTCTCAGGGCGTCCCACAGATTGTGGGGATTGAGTCGATCGAAAGATTTTTCGTAGTCATTGAATACCATATAGAGAGACTGACCTGAGCAATGCATTGACCTGAGCGTGACAATATGGGCCACACAAGATCATCCAGCACGGTGGATGGGCCACACAAGATCTGCCTGCTGCCACCGGAGAATCGCGTCAATCTTCGTCTGTATTCGATGTATCATAACTTTGCACAGAACTTTTAAAACAATACACAGTAACATAATGTTTTGCCAGTTGTGGCACACATGCAAATCCCCCTTCTTAGGGACCTTAACTAAGACGCCTTGTATCCAGTCGCAGTGTCACAGATATTACAGAATAGTTAATGCAACATTTATGCGGTTAGAATTGGGTCTACTTTGAGCATCTCTACTGATATGCGATCGACCTCGGAAGCCTTGGTGGATTTCATACTTCGGCTAGCTGCTTCAATCTCCTGCAGTGATAGGGACTCGGCTGATCATGTCGAGATGTTTATGGCTGGCTGGACATCGAAACTAGAAGAAGTTGTTCGAAATGCTCAAACCAACGTTTCAGCTGATCAGTGGAGTCGGTAAGTCATCCTTACTCATGAGATATCGTAGAGAAGGCGGATATCGCCAGTTGTTGCGACTTTCTCCCCTTCGTTAGACAGGGAGTCTACCAACCCACACTTGTCCCACCTGCAAGAGCGTTTGACTTACTTCTCTAGAGTTGAATACCGTTGACGGCCTTCATTCTTGGCTCCTCTGGCTCTCGCCTGCTCTATCGCGGTTTTTGTCTCTCTATGCCACCAGGTGTCATCAGTGATCCACTCTTTTCACTGCGTGCGCAGCTCACCCAGGTTGTTCTCACTTGTCAGGCAAAGGCATTCTTGATGGCCGTTCACTGTTCTTCTACGCTGCCACCTTCCGGAGCACCCGATGCTCGGGTCTCATGTTCTTCAACGAACAATCTTTTCGCAACTTGATCATCTAGTCGATGTGTATTGAATCGGCGTCCGAGCCTTTTCTCCCTCCGCTAGATCCGTTAAATGCGTAGGTGGATCCACCAGAAGGTGATGGTCAGACGCGATGTCGGGGCTGCGCTTGTTTCGGACGTCAAGAAGACTCCGTCTCCATTTTCGGCTGACACAGATGTGGTCGACTTAATTTTCGGTATATCCATGACGGGAAACCCACGTGACTTTGTTCGCTGGTCGATGGGGAAAGAGCAAGATCACCACAAAATTCTGCGAACAGCTCACCGTTTTCGCTCATTTCTCCTAGACCATGGTGTCCCATGACATGCTCATAGTCCGTGTTGTCATAACCGATCTTCGCATTGAAGTCACTAGTGTAGATCTTGATGTCACCCTTTGGGACTTCATCCACGACGGCATTCAGTTTACTGTAAAATTTCTCTTTGTCCTGTAGCTCGGCAGCATCGGTTGGCACATAACATTATGGCAAGGTTTCGATTATGAAAATGACCTATGAACGGGAGATTATTCATTTCCAATCATGATTAAGTATGTCAACACTCATTGTGGCACCAAAAACGCAATGACTGAGTTCAAATAATCATTGAACATATTTTTTGCAAAATTATGAAGCGATCTAACTGGCAGAAGTAATAAACCATTCGAATTTAATGGACATGGATACGCAGAAACTAGCCCGTCAAACGCCTAAATGTATGTATCTCATTCGTGATCATAGATGATAAATAGGGTGGGTCAATCTCTAATCAATCAATTTTGGACCTACTAAGCACAACCCGTCCTTTGCCTCTATTTTTCGAGTGGGTTGCGAAAATCCTGAATCAACATTCTTACAGACCCCCTTGACTCTTGGAATTTGTAGAAACAGATAACAGCGCGACAGATATGATATCGTCCTCTTCCCTCGGCTGATCTTCAACGTCCGCGTGACATCTGTCATGCTGACACCTGTCAATTATTGAGCCCTGGTGGTAAAGTTTGCGGGGAACTCCCAACAGTTTCAATGTGTACTCAACAGATAACATTGCCATCACATAAGGGTGGTAACTATATGCCTTGTATGAGGAATTGATTAGCGGGATATCTTGTTAATTAGATATCTTTGAGTCCATGCATTGTGTTAGCGCAGCACTTTTAATTTTTTGTAGATGGACTGAGTTCAATGCACTTTTTCCTCCACCAACTCGATTGCAAGTGTCAGACAGTTTACAGCTTGTTGATCTCAGGAAGCTGAAGGACCCGTAAGAGGTATGATCTTCTTCATCGTCACCATCATTATCTACCGCTTTTCCATCTTCACTGTGTAATCCGTCACTGCATCTGTGTAATCATCTACACGTAGTTCTTCCTCGCGACAGTCAATCGTTTCATTGTTTGGATTCTCGTTTTATGGTATTTCGAAAAGGTTATTCAACGGGTATTGTCTTCATGCATTAGTGCAGATCCAACTATCATTCCAATGTTTTTCCACGCTTTCTGAAGGACAATTTGGGACACCTCCATCCATGCATCTTGATGCCAAAACGTGATATGATTGAGATTTGTTTGCTTTAGACCCTGAACTGTATCGTGGTTTCCAAAAAGGATCTCATTAAGGTGTTTCTCTCTTCATACTTCATCTTAATTTTCAAGTATATATATAATTTCGACGTGAAGCAATCAATCATACGTTTGGTACGATAGTTTAGTTCAAAAGCTACAAAACAAAGTCGCATAATATGAATATTTACATCTATTATTCTCAAAAACAAAAGAAGCGATCCTAGCGAATCCATTTTGGATTTAACAATCACCCCTATTCTGTATTTCGTTTCGAACGAAATTCTCATACAAAAAAATATTTTTTTTAATGAGAATTTCGTTCGAAACGAAATACAGAATAGGGGTGAATATCTCAGCAATGTGCAACTATTTATCAAATCCAACGGTACGTATGGAAAGTTGAATAAATTTAGAAGTAATCTTCGATTTTTTGTTCAAACCCTTTAAAAAAAGAGAGCTAAAGCGCAGGTTGTGCTTAGTAGGACGGAAATTAAATCTTAATGCTACATTAAACTATTTCTAAACCGTCCCGCTAACATTATGCAAAGTGAGCCAATCAATCTCAATTCGTAAATCTACATACTTTTGTTATTTCTCCTATTTTGCTCCATCCTATCACGCATGCATAACTGAAGTTGAATGTAATGTCAAATATGTAATTCATATTTTTACTACCTTAATTATGTCATTTATAACAATTCTATTCAGTTCAGTTCCTCATTCAGCTTTGACATGAACATGCCTAAACTCACTAACCACCATCATGGTAGCATTCTCCATTGTCCCTTTTTTTGCTACTCTCTATACTGCAATAGAAAGGGGCGGAGTTATGCTACAGACATGGTCCTTGCGCACAAGCCATGACGCATGTAGGGACAAATTTTCCCTCATTAAATTAAATTGATCTGTT